GCCGTCCACACCACACCCGGGACAAGGCCGGGCCGTGCGTGCACAGACAGGACTGCGGGGTCCACCCTCAGACTGGCCCTGCGGGAGAGGCCACGCCGGCGCCGTGCCCCCGGCTTTCGTGCCCTCTGTGCACGGGCAGAGCACGCGGTCCAGGCGCTGCGTCACAGCCGGGGCTCCCGGGTCACAGCCGGGCCCCCGCGGGGCCGTGCCGTCCTCCGCCGAGAGGGCCAGGGCGGAAACCCTGCGCAGGCCCCGGTCTCGAGCTCCTGCCTCCCTGAACGAGTCGCCACGGCAACCCCCGGGGGCTCACAACAAGGACTACACAGCCCTGGTATTTGTAAGCAAAAAGAAAAAGGTGACAGGATTAAATAGCAGACCTTTGAGGAAATAATCATAAATATCTTTGGCAGCATAAGGCCGGTCACTGCTTGAGTCTCAGCGGCCGAGACTCTGTCCGCCTTTCCATCATGAAACCAATTTTTCAGGGTTTATAGCTTGGACGTAAAAACGTGCTCCGGGCAGAAACCTGGCGCGCGAGGTCTGTGTCCAGCAGGAGGACTCGCCCGATTTGTTCAGTCAGGGAGTCGCAAAGAACAACTGTCCTGGGCGTGCAGACGGGCCTGGCGTGGGGACAAACCACCCAGTTTTGGCCGCAGGAAAGTTAGCAGTAGGGGAAACGTTGGGGGAAACCGTGCCCGGAAAGCAAGGCCTGGCGTTCCCGCAGTGCCCGTGAGTGAGCCCGTCCTGAGGGCGGAGTGTCTGCCCAGTGGTGGACGTCCCCTCCGGAGAGCGAGGGAGGGGCGGACGTCCCCTCCGGAGAGCGAGGGAGGGCGGACGTCCCCTCCGGAGAGCGAGGGAGGGTGGACGTCCCCTCCGGAGAACGAGGGAGGGATGGACGTCCCCTCCGGAGAACGAGGGAGGGTGGACGTCCCCTCCGGAGGGCGAGGGAGGGTGGACGTCCCCTCCGGAGGGCGAGGGAGGGTGGACGTCCCCTCCGGAGAACGAGGGAGGGTGGACGTCCCCTCCGGAGGGCGAGGGAGGGTGGACGTCCCCTCTGGAGAGAAGCCGGAAGCACCTGGGCTCTGGGACCGTGCCCGGCTTCATCGAGCCCCACTTCTAAAGCCTGCTCAGGGCCGACTGTCCTTCCGGGGTTAAGACAAATTAACTCTTCTAAGTCACGAAGGCCCCCAAAGAATCATTTTTGCATCGTGAGTGGGCGCCCGGATAAATGGGGAGCCCTCGCTCTCCATCATCAGATTCCTCCATGCGATCTCTCACGGCGGACCTTGATAAGCAAGGTTGGCCAGGTTCCTGCCCAAATGCAGTTTTCGAGGTCTAGGAAATAATGACCTGAATCGCAGTCTCATCCTCTCTGACAAGACCGTCAGCATCACTGGTAGGCCGGTGGCGTCTTTCTGGTGGGACTGTTGATGCAGCGGCTGACGCGGTGTTTATGCAGCTTTGAGGCAGTTATTACACAAGAAAAAAAATCTCTTGATCCCATTACTTAATGTTTTCTAAGTGAACACTTAGTATTTAGTGGCTAAGCAAATTTGCTTTTCTATAATGAATAGAGTGGGTGATTGAAAAACATTTAATGTACTGAGGGATGGGCGCCCGCTATCCAGGGATTACTTAACTCACAGTTTAAACTCTCATTTTTTCGAAAGGCAAACAGATTTCCTTTATACTAGAGATCTTGGGCTTCACGGTTTTGTTCCCATTAGAATCTATCTAAACGTGTGGACTGTGTGCGTCTTCTTACGTGCCGTACGGGAGACGCAGCTGGACTGTTCTCGGTGTTGAATGTCCCTGCCGCTTGGCCAGGCTTTCCCGCTGCAGGAGGCCGCTCTGGGCTGAGCAGCCTGCCGGGAGGGTGAGTGGAGGTCCAGCGGTGTCACCGCACAGACAGAACCCGGACGCTGGAATTGCACTCGGGTCACAAGTCTTGACGCTGAGCCTGTGTAAACGCACCTTAACTTCGAATTCATAGACAGCAACGGGAAGCAAGCCTGACGCCCTTCACAATTACGAAGAAAGAGCCTCTGTTAGACGAGTGTGGAACGAGGGAGGACAACCGTGACCTGGGAGGGTGGCGGGCGGGCGGGACAGGACAGCGTGGGTCTCTCCGCAGCCGATGGTTCTACGCGATGTGCGTGCCGTGACCTGAAGCGTGCATTTCCAATCTCAGATTCCCGGGAGGGAAAACCCGAGTGGCTCAGCTGGAGACAGGCCTCTGCCGCCTCGCTGGGCAGCCGCGACCAAGGGGCCGTGCTGTGAGGCAGGCAGGGGCGAGGGCTGTTCCCGGAGGAGCAGAGAGCGTGCCGAGTGGGGCAGCAACTCCAGAAATGCATCCCTGGATCCAGGATGGGGTCAGAGATCGAACCGGAAATCGAGCCGTTTTCCTTCCATGGAGACGCCATCGGGGCTGTCAGCCTCCCACACGCCTCTGCCTCCGCCTCCCTGCTCCAGTGCGAGCCTCAGCTTTCCACCCGGTTCTCTCCTCGGAGGGGAGACACGTCGGGTCTCCCACTTCTCCGGTGCCGTGTCCCGTACCTGCCGGGCGGAGGGAGGCCCGGCTGTCACCGCGAGACCTGCTCATTCGCTCCTCCCTCTTCCCCGCTCCCACCAGTGCGTGCCAGGGGGGCCCCCCAAACGATCCGCGCCAACTCCGCGTGGGAGAGCCCTGTCTGGTCACGTTCCCGCTCAAGGAAACGTCCGTCTACTCACGACTGACGGCTGCTGCCCCTCGGGGGGCCAGACGGCTGCCTCACTGGACGGGAAGTCCGACTGTCCCCTGCTTTCCAGCTCTGCATGACTGGGGCAGGGGCTGGGGGCTGAAGCAATGCCCGTGTGATCCGACCACCCGCTGGGACCGTCCCAGTTCCAGTCGTTTGGAGGGAGCTGTCTGCACTGCCCACAGTCGGCCCACGGCTCAGTGTCTGCCTCCTCAGCTGTTTCCCGTCTGCAGCTGCTGCCTCCCAGCTGCACGGGGGCTGCCTGGAGCCAGCGATCACGACTGTCCTTTCCTTTGTTTCTCCCACTGGACAAAACAGAAGGGCGGAGGCTGCAGAAGGAAGGTGCCAAAAGGAGATGTGTTGCTTGATTAAAGAACCAGACGGTGAACAGGCAGAACAATTTCCAGTTTTCTGTGGGCGAGAGAGGTTTCTGTGCTGTGAGTCCGGTGCTGATCCGTGTAGTTGTGAGGGGCTGTGTGCGGCCACTCCCCTCATCCCCGCGGCTCTCACCGCTTCCGTGTAAACCAAAGGCTCCTCGCGGCAGACGTGGGCGCCGCCGGCCCTGCCTGGCAGGAGAAGCACCTGGTCCCGCACACAGTGCAGCCCCGGCCGTCTCCAGCGACAGGTGGGTGGTGACGGGCACTCGCCGGCCTCCCCCTGCTGGAACACTTATGGGATGTATCCAGCATCTCCCGGTTTAGCAGGTCAAACCCCAGCTGTCCACAAGGTAAGCTGCCTTTCAGCTCACCGCGCTAGTTCTGCTCCCCTCCCTCTTCTCAGTTCCCTGCTCCTCAGTCGGGGCTTCCCGGAGTCCCGACCACCCGAACCCTCGCCGCGAGGCCTCCTCTGGCCCAGCACAAAACAGGAGAACGGGTTCCGTGTGCGAGCGTTCCTTCAGGATCCAGGAAACGACTAAGGGAAACCGAGTGCCAATTTACACTGGATCAAACTTATCTACTATGTGGGCCAAGCGCTGTAAGAATCTCTCTCTTTTGTTTGTTTGCTTTTTTGCTTTTCATCTCCCAGTCTGTGTGTGCCTGTTCGTGCAGAACATTATTTTACGAGGCAGACAATACTTCCCCAGGCCGGTATAAATTATCACCGAACAATGGAGCCCTTCTCTCGTCGTGGCTCCTGCGCAGCCCGGCCGGGCCCAGATAAACGGCCTGTCCTGGCGTGTGGAGCGGATGAGTCACGAGGTTGTCCGGGACCAGGCAGCTCCGGTGCGCCAGCGACAGGAAATCCATGCGCGTGGCCCCGTGGCAGCTCCGGGAGGGGGGCTCTGCCGTGATAAACCCGCCTGCCGTCGGGTCTGGGCGGCTCTGGGCGCAGGGCCTGGCCCAGGTCTGGGTTCAGACGATAACGTTTCCCTCGTGGCCCCTTTCCAAATGCCTAAGTTTTATGGGGAACGGGCCATCCAGACCAGTTAGTGGGGAAGTGGGCGGCATACGTTTTCTGATTTTCCTTTTAGTCTTTGGCATTATTGCTCATGTGCTGACCGGGACGCTACTGTCATTAGCCCTTCCCCGACTGGGGACTAGAGGAGTGTCCCTACGGAGACCCTATTTCGAGATGGTCCTGGATGTGTTCTGAGCATTTTACAGCCACAAAGTCTCCCTGGCTTCGCGGGACAGCAGGTCTCAAGCTCTGGGGGTCACTTCTGGGTTTGATAAAAGGCTCGCTGGCTCCCCCGACAAATGCGCTCGGCCCGAACCCCGCATTCTGCACACATGGGCGGCGGCCAGACCACGGGGCTCACCCCGGACTCAGCCGTGGCCCCGGATCTCCAGCCAGGACCGCTGTGACAGTGACTGAGGCGGTCGTGAGGGTGAGGGCTCAGTCCGGTCGCCCTTCCGACGGGCAGGCGCGCGGCCTGCCTGACAGAACGCCCAGGAGGGTGCGGGGAGGAAGGCCGCACTCGGGCCTGTCGAGGACCGTCTCGAAGCGTTGGGGGGGTACTAGACTTGAACGACGCGTCTGATGTCCCGTCCTTCTGGCCAGGAGGACTATTCGAAAATGTTAAACTGGAGAAACGGGACTTTAAACTCATTAACTGTGGGTATTAATGTTCTTCCAGGTCAGGAGGATGTAGGTAACGCTGATTGAATCCAATCGTCTTTTGTTAATGTTACACTTTATTTTCTTCGAGATTGTTAATGTGATACAACAGCAAGTTTCATATGCCTTGAATGGAGCATTTGGAAGTACAGATTGTTATGTAAAAATAACATTACATTCGCCATAACCCCCCACGCAGAGAACACTTTGAACAGTTTTTTTCTTCTCATCACTTTCTATGCACATATTTATACAGTTTTTATTAATTTACTTAATATGCTATTTGTTTCACATGTCAGGAGGTTTTTTTTTTTTAAAGCCATCTTTGGAGGTCAGTTTTTCTTGCCATATTTAGCCATTCTATTGTTACAGGTTTCAGAGCGTTGGTAGTTATCCACTCTTCACTCTACCCTTGGCACCCAAACCTTTTTGGGAGTTTCACCTGGACGCTCTGACAAGACCCGAGGTCTCCTCCCAGGCAGACCGCAGGCCCTCGAACCTGAGCTTCTGGTCACTCATCAGAGCATTTACTTTTCCCAAACAAGCATGGCCCTTCCCCAAACAAGCATGGCCCTTCCCCTGAGGAGAGCGGCTTGTCTCTTGCCTGTGACGCTTCCTCTCTCTTATTCGATTCTCAGGGCAGCCCAGAGAGGCAGACGGCTCCTTCTCCCGTGCCAGGTGAGGCGGCCCCGAGACTCCACGGCCTCGCGGGGCCTCAGCCCGGCCCTCCCTCCGGCCCGGCCCTCCCTCCGGCCCGGCCCCCCGGGCAGCCTCCTCTCCAGGGGCTGCTCCCTGCCCCGACCTGAGCTGCCTCCCAGGCTCCTGCCCAGCCTGGCCGTGACCCACCTCCGCGCTCGGACCTCGACCCCGCGCCTCCCTTGGCTCTCAGCGCTTCCCCCTGGCGTGGCCGTCGCCTGCACCCGCCCCCCCCGGCAGACACGCCCTTTCCACGCAGGGAAGGTTCAGGCGTCGCAGCTTCCTGCTCCTCGGACGCGGGCGGAGGAAGAAGCAAGTCGCCACGAGGAGGAGGGTGTTGAACGTGTGCATGCAACAACCGCCCGTGTTGCTTAAAACCATGCAGCCCTTCGGGAAAGACAGGTCCCGCTACATGGAAGGCCTTTTTGCTTCGCTGAGTGACGGATGGATTTCGAGCTGCCCAGGTGAGCCCAAAGCCAGACTTGGGAACGGCTGTCTGAGACCCGTCCCCCCAAGCAGACCGCGAACCTAAGGAAAGAGCGAGGGTGGTTTGCTCGGCAGGTCGTCCGGGAAGTGCCACCAGGGCGCTGGGAGACAAGAGGGGAGGAGAGGACGCCGATTAACCGAGGTATCCAGCGGTGACCGACACGGGCACCTGCCGCATCCCACGGGGGCCTTCGGCGCCGGGGCAGAGCACACTGCAGTGTCGTCTCAGCCGAGGGCGGGAGCCTGGGGAGTCCCTCTGCCCCTCCCTCCGTGGTCGGCTGAGGGCTGCTCTCCCTCACGCAGGGACGGCCAGAGGCAAGAACCCCTCAGACTTCGGGGGGCTGCCTGTCTTAGGGGAACACACAGCCCGGCAGAGCAGCGACCTCACTCTCAGAGCCCTGCTGGCTCCCCGAGGGAACGGCTGTGGCGTCCAGGTACGAGCACTTCTCTGCTGGACGCCGAACTAGGTCGCCAATGCGCGGCAAGGCGGAAAACCCCTCCCTGAGTTGAGACACTCACGTGCTTCCACCACCCAGAGCCCTTCCCTCGGCACGGAGACCTCCTCCTCGGATAAGCTTACAGATAAGCTTACAGACGCCGTGTGGCGTTGCTCACTTTTGGAAAAGAAAAGTCCCCCGGCTTACCGGGAAGCCCGGCCCCACCCATCAGGGGCCCGAGAGAGGAAGGAGGCCGGCGGCCCCTGTCCGCAGAGCGGCTGCCCGCTGGGCCGGCAGAGACGGCGCGGCCTGACGAATCTGCTGCCTGAAATGGAGACTCATCCTGCCTCCGGGCCGAACGCTTGCTCCCCTGGACTGAAACTGAGACGCCCTGGGGAACTCTTTTTTTTTTATTTGAGACAGAGTCTCACTCTGTTGCCCAGGCTAGAGTGAGTGCCGTGGCGTCAGCCTCGCTCACAGCAACCTCCAACCCCTGGGATCAAGCAATCCTCCTGCCTCAGCCTCCCGAGTAGCTGGGACTACAGGCATGCCCCACCATGCCGGGCTAATTTTTTCTATATATATTAGTTGGCCAATTAATGTCTTTGTATTTATAGTAGAGACGGGGTCTCGCTCTTGCTCAAGCTGGCTTCAAACTCCTGACCTCGAGCGATCCACCCGCCTTGGCCTCCCAGAGTCCTGGGATTACAGGCGTGAGCCATCGCACCCGGCCCCTGTGAGAACTCTTAAGAGAGTGTTACGTTTCAGCCAAGGTTTTGAAGCCCTGACCTGGGCCCTGAAGCACTCCGAAGTCTTCCTCCTCCTCTCGGGAGAGAGCACCGGACAAGGGGGAAGGTCCCCAGGCCAGAAACGGGCTGAAGCAGAGCTCTGGGGACACGGGTTTGAGAGTCGGGGTTTCTGCAGGCTGTCGAGGGGACGGTTCGCATCTGCACAGCTGCAGAAGCCGCTGGGGCATTTCGTTTGACAGCCGCTGTTTGGGGCTAAAATGATGCCTTCACCCTTCCTTACTGCGGGCTGTCAGGAAGGCAGGGCTACCGGGTCGAGCCTGGACACCATCTATAGAACTGACTCATCCTTTTTGCTCAGCGCGGTACTTGGCCCTACTCCCAGGCTAACAGGATGCCAAAAATGATTGTCGGATGGACTGGGCCTAGGGTTGCAGACACGCGGCACGCGTGCAGCTACCTCCCTCCTCTTCCCCAGGGCAGACATCATCAATCAATCCCCGTCCTGGAAACAGCCTTCCCAGCATGCCTTTCTAGGCAGGCATAAGCAGTCGATTAGGTTTTGCCACAAGTTAAGCTGTGCCCCTGGTGTGTTTCCCTGTTGAATCTGGCACCTGTGAAGAGCATCATGGGACCAGACGACACCCCGCCCTGCATGGCCTCTCTGCCCATGTGCTACACACACGTGTTCATGAGAAGGGTTCACTCACATGCTACACACATGTGTTCAGAAGGGTTCACTCACGTGCTACACACGTGTTCATGAGAAGGGTTCACTCACGTGCTACACACACGTGTTCATCAGAAGGGTTCACTCACATGCTACACGTGTTCATCAGAAGGGTTCACTCACGTGCTACACACACGTGTTCATGAGAAGGGTTCACTCACTTGCTACACACACGTGTTCATGAGAAGGGTTCACTCACTTGCTACACACACGTGTTCATGAGAAGGTTCACGCGTGGCTCAACTGAACTGGCTGTGGCCCTTTTCACTCTCTCAGAAAGCGGTCCGACGCCCACGAAAGATAAAGCTGCCTGGGCTTCCTGTGTGAAGGCCTGTCGACTCCTCATTCCAGTTCGCGATTAGGCGGCCAGAAAGCGCCGCACCTCCGGGCAGCGCGTGGGCGCCGGGTCAGCCTCCCCGCCTGGCGCGGGAGGGGCCAGCTCGGCCGGCGGGGCGTCACTCGAGCGTTTGCTCCGCCAGCATGGTGCGCTGGTGAGTGGGAGCACTGCCAGCACGCGGACTCTCAGAAACGCAGACGGAGCACGACGAGGGGAGTCCACCGGCCAGGGACGTTCTGGCCGTGTGGGCTCGGCAGACGGCAGTGCCTGAGTGTGCTAGGTGCCTGAATGGGCCCTGGATTCTCCGTTTGTCCTTTCAACGTCCACGCATTCGGCAATCATTGCTGAGGCAGCACGCTACGCCGCCTGGCTTGGGCACAGCCTCTCCCCCAAACAATGAAAATCCCTGTGCTCTATGGTACCCAGCAATTCTAACAGAGAACACACACACCGCCACACCCCAAAC